CTTTTTGCAAAAAAACAAAAAAAAAGCAAAAAAAAAATATAGAAAAATTGGAAAAATTGTACAAAAAAATTGAAAGAAAATTGCAAAAATAACAAAAAAACATAAAAATAGAAAAAGAATAAAAAAAAGAAATGACAAGAAATGGTATGAGATAGCAATATAATAAAATAGGACAGCAACATACAAAATGCAACATAATAAAAAAAAATTCCTTTTCCACCCCTTCAATTTCTTCTATAGTAAGTATTAATTTGATTTCAATTCAAGAAGCATAAAAAGAGATGGGGTGAAAATAAAGAGAGAGGCGCAAAACTTTTTCATTCTTCTATCTTATTCAGAGAGTTTAAGTATAGAAAATATAATCAAAAAAGAAAAGCCATGACTCTATAAAAAGAAAATTAGAAAGAGAAAAAAAAAATGAGAAAAAAATTATCGAAAATTTTCTTTGTTTTCTATTCTGTTTTTTCTTCTTTTTTTTTGTGTCATTTTCTATTTGTTAAGGAATTTTTACAGCTTATACTGCAATAGAGAACAAAATGAAAAAGAGGTAAATCCTTAAAATTAGTTAAACCTTTACTATACTCAATAATCTCTTACTTACTTATATGTGCTGTATAAAAATTAATTTAATTTAGGTATATCTGTACGAGTATGTATGTATATACATATATATATAGATGCTTATACTAATAAATACATTGAACCATTCAATCATGAAAGTTTACTTTTTTTCAAAAGTTTATAGGTATAACAAATAATAAGTAGATTATGTTGCTCGTTGTTACTCTAAACCCTGAGATTAGATATCAAAACAAATTGGAAAAGTTTAATATTTAAAAGGATTACCTTATGTATATAGTTTATAAACAAAGGTAATACTCGTACTATACTAAAATATTTTATATTCAATATAGAATTCTCGTTCTACAACCAAAATACTATTTAAAGGTTGAAATTAATTTTCTTTGTTGATTGTTGCAAATCTTCAATTGTTTTAGGTGTAATCAAAATTTCGTGCTTATTAACGTCAAAGATAAAAGTATTTAAGTTTACAATTATTTCGAACTTTCCGTAGTATTAATATTATAATTCCTTTTAAAAGTAATTGATGGCTATGTGAATGGCTAAATAAAAGCGAATAATATTGGTAAAATCTATAAATTTTAATAGCATAAGATTCAAAGATTCCTTTTATAAAATTAGCTTAATATATTCGAAATGCATTTTATTTGGAAATTAAAAGTAATCTTTAATATTATTTTTATACCGACTTTAAAAGCAAACCATATCTTAAATTATCTTCAATATTATTATAAGTTTATTTTCTTAATTCAATAAATAATATTCTTGCATACGCCATTATAAGTATACTTATACTTATTTAATCTAGCACAAAATAATAGACATAATTATTATTATCGAAGATATATGTATATAGAACAAGTATATTATTCTGTTGCCAACTGATGATAGAAACTTTTCTTTAACATTTATAATAAAAGTTTTTCCTATTTCTACACCCTCATCATATATAAAAATTTCAAAAGTTCCCTCTTTTATTTTAAAGAAAAAAGAAAATTTAGCAAAAAAACATTTTTTTAATGGATAATTGGGTTGAACAGAGTATAAAAAAAATATACATATATAAAGTCTAATTATAATGGTTTGCAATATTTATAACTTAAATATTTTAATAAAATATAATTTAGCAAGCTATAAGCGCTTATATACCCCATCTTTTATTATAAATAGAAAAATAAAAGAGAATTAAAAAGCATAAAGTAGAATTTTATAAAATATTTATTCCTTTTTACGTCTAGAGTCCTGAATAATTATATTTGTAGGTGTATGAGAATATAATGTATGTATGTATATATATTTTTTTGTTGTAAAAGAAAATTTCTTTTAATTGTTGAACACATAAATGTACATGTACATAGAATGCATAGAAGAATTTAAGTTTCTATACAAAAGGATTTTATATACTTGCAAGTAATTTTTGAAATAACATTTATTATTTTCGTAATTTAGCCACGATTATCTTTTGAAAAACAAAGAAAATTTTCTTTAATATTACAATTAATGTATACATAAATTTAATAGTGCTTGTAGACATGCAAATTAATTAGCTAACAGCTTTTCCTTTTTTTTCTTTTTAGTTGCATGAATGCTTTGTAGAAAATATTTTCAACTCAACCCTATGAAATATTGATAAGTGAAAATATATAAGGAATGATTTAACTCCCTTGTTCAATAAATATTATTATAGTTTTGCACTATGTCAGGCCAGAAATTTCGAATTTGTAAAAAGTGTAATTTAGGGGTATGTATGTAGGTATGTGAAATTTGAGAAATTTTTAAGAATAATAAATACTCGATGGCAATAACAAACTAATTTGAAGTTTTGGTGATAATTAATATTTTTAATCGAATTATAAGATCACTAACACTACAAAACTATAGATATATATGAGTACTTTGAATTCGTTACTTTAAATGTAACAAATTGCATATACTCGTATTTAACTACATATATATGTACATAATGTATACAGAGTTTATTATTATATAAATGGTAAAATTACCATTTTTATTATTTGTTTAACTTGAATTTAAATGTTAATTTAATTAAGATATTGCAAAAAATTAAAAATTAGCAACAGGTTTACTTATATATATACATATGGATATATTGAGGTATATATACAAAACGATAAAGTAAAATTTACGTCCATATGTGTAAATTTAATCAAAAAGAGACGAGCTGTATTTTTTGAAATAAATATGAATTCAAGTAAAACATGATGATTTTCTGCCAAAAATAAAATTAATATAAATTAAATAAATTAAATAAGCACATAAAACATGTATGTAGACATGTATGTGTATGTAATGTGTATATTTGAACAAGTTTTTTTCAATTTATAAAATACAGTTTTACACTTTCAAAGTAATACAGAAAAGAAAGAAAACGTAAAATTTCGCTAAATAAAAACAAAAAAAATATTAAAACATTTGTTCAAAGTTAAAACACGGGCTAAAAACAAAAAATTTATTATTTCAATTTTTTATTTATTTTTTATTTTTTTACCTGTTGTATATTGTTCGCGTTTATTTTATAATTTGGCCTTGATACAAAACAAAAAAAAAAAATACAAACATAAGAAAAGTTTTTTAATTATTTTATCAGAAAAGATAAAATTGTGCTACAGATAATTTTTTTCTCTTTTGTTTTCTACCTTTTCCTAAAGTTTAAGTAAACTTTCAAGTACAAAGTCATAATAATTGCATTATATAAATTATAGATTATAGTTAGGTACAGCGGAACAGAGTAAAGAAAATTACTTATTTGTAACTATGTATGTAATTGTTATTCTCATACATAAAATATGTATTTCATACCTTAATTATAATTATTAAAGAAAGAAAAATAGAAACCAAAAATTATGCAAAGTAAGGCAGTCAGTCATCTGTTAAAATGTTTTTGTGTAATATTTTTTTTCTTGCATAATAAGCACCTCCGTACCTATGTGGGCATTATATTCGAAAGCTTATGATGTTATTATGCATAATATAATTTTATAAAATTATAAAATATGAAATATACATAAGCGTTTCTAAATAAGATACAATTAGAAATATAGATTTGGAGGAAATTAGGTTAAACATTTTACGGTTTTTTGAATATAAAATTTTATCTCATACTCTTTGTTATTATTACGTCATGTGCAATAACGGGCGGAATAATGAAGTACTTGCATTTGAAACTTAATTGTTATGAATTACGGCAATCAATTTTCACAATAATTAATTAATAATTTAACAAAAGTATAAATCCATTTCTTGGAAATGTTATAATTCTCCTTGCTCTATGATTCTAAAGTTGTATGGTATCATTTTTTCATATTAGAAGTAAGTCTTTTCTCGTTGTAGGTAGTTTTTCAATAATCTATCAAATCCACATGACCTGCTTACGCAATTTTTTTACTAAATATCTATGTCATAGCAGCAAATATGTATGCCAACGCAGTCTCCGGATAGAGTAGAGTCAATTGCTCTATTATAGATACAAACTTATCCATAATACGGCATTCGAAATTCAGAGAGGCTTGTACATATTTAGTGAACGCATCATAACATAATAATATAAAAAGAAACACATATGATAAAAAACAAAATTCAATGAAAGATAACTTTCAGCAATTGGCAAGTGGTAATGTTAATAAGGATGATACAAAAAGCAAGCAAAAAGCAGCTAAGGCTAAAGAATAAGGAAACATTCTAACATTACCAATATAAGAAGAAAAAACCAGCTCATTTTGGTCATAGTCAAATTGGAAAAAGCATGACTTGAGTTGCTAATATACTTTTATTTCAACAGATATTTTTTAAAGAAAAGTTTGACAATAATGTTAAAGTTAAAAATGAATCTAAGAAACGAATCTGAACTTTTCCTCTAGAGATTCTGAGATTTCATTTTTGTCTTGGCCGGTTCGAGTTGCATAAATTTAAATACAAATTATATTATGGAACACGTTTCATGAACCGAAATATTCAAACGTTTTTTCTCATTTAACTATACTAGCTCATATACATTGTGTAGTTAATCACTAAAAATGTTATGTAACTATAAGATTTTAATGATTTCAAAATATTTTAATATTTGCTTATTTTAAATTCCTTAATTACTTATAATTTATTTAACTATGAGATTACTAAAATTGTTTGCAAATAATTTTTGCGAGAAAAACAAAAACACCGTAATATTCTTAATAAAATTTTATTTTAAATTGAATTTTCAAATTTATTCTATTAAAATCAGAATTTTTTATTCTATTATTTACATTGTTATCTAATAGATTATAATATTAATTTATGCAAGTAAATAATTTAAAAAATCAACAAATTCATTTTAGAATTCATTTTAATTCAATTCAGAGTAATTTTTTTATTATTTATTTGACAATATAATTAATATATGTATATACTAATTTGCTTACCTGATTTACGTTTTTCTCTATCTGGTACAACTAAACTTTTAGCACGTTTAACACGTAATGATCTTCTACGTATTGAACGTAAAAATGCTTCTGGCATACGTGAAAATCTTTGTGGTGTATCGGGTGCTTTAGTACGTTCGGGTAAAAAGAAATTTTTTACAGCTAACATTTTGAATTCTTATTTTATATACTAATAAATATTGAAATATGATTTATATTATAATTGGTATTCTAAATTAATAATTACTATAAATAAGAATTGGTTTAAGTTCTTCTTAAATATTTCCTTTTTGATACACTTTAAATTTTAAAACATCTATCCTTTGTGATATTTATGATATTGAAACATCTATCTTTGTGATTGTAATCAAAAATATTATGATGACAAATTCAAATTAAATTCTCTTTTTTTCTTTCCTTTTCGAAAAAAAAAAATTTTAAAACTTTAATTTTATTATTCTGTCAAAAATATAAAATGGTTTCATTATTTTCTTTTGCATATATTTATTATTAAACTCGTTTGTTCAAAAATCTTTTAAAAGTAAATCTTAAAAATTTTTGATATTTCTTTCAATTTTTTCAAATGAAACTAAAACAAAGACAAATTAAAATAAATTTTGTGACTAATATTTTATTGTATACTTTAAAAAACTTTTTGCCTTCTTATTCTTTATTATATTTTGAACAATACTTTTTTTAAATGTACAAATTATTGTGAATATATTTTAGTATATTTAAATATAAAAACAAGAATTTAATGAATATAAATTCATCTTCTAATTAAATATTTGAGATACATATATATTAATGTATAACTATGCACAAACACTCATATTTAATTGTGAATACAATTAGTATGAATGTAAATAAAATTTTGCAATGACATCACACTGAATTTTTAATATTTTTGGTCATCACACTTTTGTAATTAATATTCTTTTAAAATTAGAAATTCAATAATAGCATATGGCGTTAATGATAAATTCCTAAATATTCGAGGCAGTAAGAATACACGTAAATGTGCACGTATATTTATTGCGTGTAAATATAAAGTGATTAAATTAAAAATTTATATTGTGCTGCACCCTGTGATTAAATTTCAAAAGCACCTCATCTGTTAACGTCTAATAATAACGTTGATTTTATTTTTAATATTTTCCTCTTATTTATTTTTAAAATAAATTTCAAGTTTTTGCACTCAAAATTCTAAAAATAACTTTTATATTTTTTTTTGTTTTTATTTTTTTTGCCTTATTATTTATAATTATTTATGTTTACATTTTTATTGCAAATGATATTTAATTTAGTTTTTTTTCTCTTCCTTGAACCTCTTATCAAGCCATAACAAATTTATTATTTTGAATTATACACACACACGTATGAACACGTTTATATTATGTACTCTTTATATACATACATATGTATATATTTTTATTGCAATATAATTTTTATTTTCATTAAAGAAAATTTGTTATACTGTTTCACATTTAATATTTAATTTCTTGATATATTTATGCATATAAAAATTATTTTTATTTGTATAACAAATTTTTAACATTTTCGTGTTATCCATCTACAAGTATTTGAAATTATTTCACTTAAATTTCATTACACAGATTACTTAAATTGACTTATGTAATTTTATTTCGAATATTTTTAAAATAATTCAATTTACTTTATTCAAAAATAATTTTTGAATCAAATGTAAATAAATCCAAAATTATTTTGATTAAAATGTCTAATCCTCTGACATTAATATTTTATATTTCTTTTTTATTTCAATTCAAAATATTTTGCTTATTTAAAAAAAAAAATTTACACGACACGTTCTCTCCTCAAAATAATGACTTTTAAAGCCAACAATCCATCGTCAACTGATTAAATGTTGTCTAAGAACAACACATTTCATACGTTTTCAAACAACAGACATTCACCACACCATACGACAGTATGTTCACACACCATTAAAGTATGTACATAATACATATTGTTGATTTGTTGATTGCTCAACTATACTCACAAATATGTAGTTATAACAAAATTTATAACAAACAATGTTATGATGAGTTTATGACTTATGTTTGTTTTCTACGTACATTTGCACCGGTAACGAAAATATTAGTAAAATAAATTTCATGAAGAGAAAATAAAAGAATCATACAAAAAAAAAAAACAACTTGAATTTGTTCGATTCATACAATACAGTATGATTAATGAATGAATTTAGTAGAAAAAATTATTAAAATTTAATAACGGTAGAAATATGGTATTATCTATCAAATAACGGAAATAAATTAAATATGAGTGAATGGGAGTAATTAAATATGAGTAAATATGAGTGAATGATGCATTAAGTAAGGTGAATAAAGCAATATTTCGTATGATATCAAAATTGTTCGTCATAGTTTTATTTATACACTACAATTTTAAAATAATGTTACCAGATATAGAAAACTTTTTTTTTTCAATTTAAACTTAAATTTGTATCTGAAAGAATTTTTTGAAATTCTGAACGTTTTTAAAAAAAAATAAATTATTTTTAATGTTTTTGTTTAATATGTTTTTGCTGATATTTTTATATCGAAAAATTTTTAAATTTTTTAGTGCATTGCTGAAGATTATTTTAAACTTGGAAATTACCAATAAGTTATACAAGAATTTCAATTGTGATAATTCAAGAAGTATAAAAGAAAAAGTTTCAGTATTGAATATACCTAATACCAAGCAGACAAACAACCCATTTAGCTTAATTTTGAAATTTTGGAGGAGTACGATTATTAATTTATCTCCCGCCAAAATCTGAAAAGATTTGCAACATTTTCATAAAAAGCACATATCAAGAATATTTGGGCAACGCCGTTTAATAAACTAACAATTACGTTAAGTATAAAAACGACTTTCAAAAGACAAGGGAAAAAATTGGAAGGTAGCTGCTCTGTTAGGTGTTTCAATTTTTTTTTTAGCGCAGCAACAAAAAAATGTCATAGTTTTATAGGTTTTTAATAGATTAGATTGTCAACCGTTTTAAACAACTTCATATGAGAAGAAATTTAGGTTCCATTGTTTTTTTATTATTCTTAATTCGTACAAAAATAATTTATTCTTATTCTGTAGACATTCATATATACAATACAACTAAAGAAAGGTAAATATAAGTTACTTTTACAGAAAATAAGTATGTAAAATTTTTTCTATATAAATTTTTCTATGTGACAAAACTGTATAAAATTATATTAGTATTTATGTATGCCTTCCATTGTTGTTATTATTTATACCATGTGACGGGAGTAGTAATTTTTATTATTTTTTGCTTGATTAGATAACGATTTGTTTATAGTAATCAAACTAATTATAGATGGTGATTGTAATGTGCAGAGATTGTAAATTTTGTTCACATACAATTTCTTTGTTATATCGGGTGATTATCTTAAAGGCGTACAACTTAGCAATATTTATTAGAAAAGAACATGAAATAATTATGATTCAAATGATTGGAATTGGTTTGATTTGAAACCAAATTTTACGTCCCAAGTTTTGGATGTATCGTTTTCCATTGTTATATCCTTGAAATAACGTTAACATTAACGTCGTCCATTAACGGATATATTAACCTCAATTTGTTTAATAGTTTACAGCTTTCTTTCGCTATAAATGCAATAACTTTGTTTATAAACAATAAGTCCTTAAACCAGATAATTGGTTCGTCGTTGGATAAAACGTTTCAATTTGGATAAATTGAGATTTTCAAAAATTAAAAGAAATTATTCTGGTTCAACACTACTTCATTTGAAATAGAAAAACAAATTAAATCGGAAATAATATGGAATTGTCAAATTTTACATATTAAATTGTAAGTAAAAAAAACACCCTTTGCAATTCACCACAATTATGTAGACGTGACTTTGTATAGCACACAAATTTTAAATAAAATTCCTAATATTTTTGGGGAGCAAAAGAGAGTGGACATATACAAATGAGTTATTAAAAGAATAAACAAGTTTAACCGTCGTACTGTCAAACACTCTGAATTATGACAAAATTTTTTTGATTTTAAACTACACTTATATAAAAATAATTGTAGAAAAGCAATATTATACGAGTAATAAGCTCCAATTATGGAAGGCTTTTTCTTAAATTAATAAGTGACTAATTTATTTAATTATTCAATACAATAAATTAATTTCCTATAACCTAAATTAAAAACGTTCTTATAGATTTTAATTATTTCGTCGTGCGAATTATAATGGTAATAAAAGTATTAATCGGTTAGACAAAGCATTAGTTAATTATAGTATAATTTGAGTTCAATGTATAATTTTAATAATGGCAGCAAATTAATTATTCAAAATAAGTTTTTTTAATATTAATATTATCATCTATATGAAAAAACGAACTTTAATCGCACATTAAGAGCTTATAGCTTTCAAAAGAATTGGTTTTAGACTGAAAAACTTATCGTTAGACGTTTTATCAAAATTTTTAATTAATTTCTTATCGTCTATAAAATTCTAAATGTTTTATTTAGAATTCATTTCCAAATCTTAATTTCATTTAAAATGAAAATCTACTTTAATTTAATTTAATTAATTATTTATTATTATTGTTTTGGGACACTTTTCCAATTAAAATTTTGATTACGATTAAAAAAATTTATATGAATTAAAAAATTATTAATAACACAGTCAGTTTCTTGCGACAAATATAAATTAATACAATAAAATCTGACAAATTATTGAATTTCTAAAAAAAAGTAAATATTCTAGTAAAGCAACTTTATAATAATAATCGAATTATGACATTAGAAGTTAAATCTGAAAAGAATTACCATAAAACTAATGTGAGGACCCGTAAAAGCTAAATAAATTCAAATAACAATTTCTTAATGCATTATGAATGTACATATTTATAGATCATTTATCAATAAATAATATTCGTTAAATGCAAACTTTAAGTCTTGCAGAAAAATTAGTCACGAGTCTTGTGTATATTCCCTTAGCACTGCTTCTTATAAGTATATATGCATTATGCATTTAATTGAACTACTAAGCGAAATGTATATTGTAATAACGTCATACTTAAATAATAATAAAAATTATTTATATACAGGGTGTAAAAAATCATATTTTTAATAATTAATTACTTTTTCTGTTATGTCAATATAATGACGGCGTTAATTTATAAATAAATTTCAAGTTTAGAGTTGATCTTATCGGAATATGTACATAACACATATTAGTTGTGAACTGATTTATTTAAATAGCTCGTGTTATTTGTTTAAGGAATTTTTCTATTACATATTAT